AACCCGGTGTTTATCTTGTTGTGTTAATGAGGTCAAAGATTCCGGATTTGACACCCTAAGTAAACCACCTGCTTCGGTCTGGGCACTCGGGCAGTATCACAGCCCATACACAAATATGATGAACTGTCGATAATTATAGAAATACTTTTCTTGCTTCGATTAACAATCAAACGATTCACATTATTATTATTATTATTATTATTATTATTATTATTATTATTATTATTATTATTATTATTATTTTCCACATTATTCACCCTCCTTTATACTTATACAGCGGCTCGTCTTTGGTGGAAATTCGACTGTATCTAAACGTTCTCGAGTCACTGCCTGGTTGAAAATTGCATGCTACCAACAAATACGAAAACTAAAGCAGTTTTTCTGAAACAACGTGCACCATTCAAACTGGCTGCCTTCAACGTTCGCACATTTATGCAGGTCGGACAACGAATAGGGCTGGCTATGTCTTTGGAAAGTCTTAATATCGATGTCTGCTGTCTATCCGAGACCCGTATTCAAGACTCCGGTGAAGTACTACAAATTCGCTCTCCATCTGTCGCTTCGAAAAGCTTGTTTTACGTGCGTTTATCCGGGGATTCTGTGGCATCTTCGTATGGTCTTGCTGGCGTTGGTGTCGCACTAAGCGCTAGAGCTGAGGCAGCACTAATCGATTGGATCCCCATTAACGGTCGGTTATGTGCTGTTAGATTAGAAAGTCCCATCAAAGTGAGAAGAAATCGGCGTGAGAAACGATGTCTTTTCGTCATCTCCGCCTATGCCCCGACAGATGGCAGCCCAGATGTAATCAAGGATGAATTCTACCACTAGTTAACTGTTCTGCTCTAGAAAATGCGTTCGACAGATATTGTAGTACTAGCCGGAGACTTGAATGCTCAGGTCGGGCGTCTAGGTACAGAAGAGAGTCGTTTACGTGACCGATGGGGACTTGTTGGTCGCAGGACAGATAACAGGGACGGGGACCGTCTACTGCAACTGTCAATCAGTCAGTCAACTACAACGTAGGACCAGGCACATATATACATCGGTCCAAGTTGTCATAACTCATTAACACAACAAGATGGACACCGGATTCATAAAAGGATAAATAACGGGGACGGGGACCGTCTACTGCAACTGTGCATAGACCACAACCTGTTTCTGACTAGCACTAACCTTCGGCACAGTCGTCGCCGAAGTTCCACCTGGAGTCCTCCCTCTGCATCCCAAGCCTGGACTCAAATTGATGACATCGCGATCAGCTACCGCTGGCGTGGTTGTGTACAAGACTGCCACTCCTTTTGGAGTACCTATCTGGACTCTGACCATGCCCTGCTCTGCGCCATTCTTACCTCACTTTTCAGTGGCCAACGAAGTGACTACCACCAACGGATTGATATTAGCAAGCTGGTTGCAACTTCTGTTGCTAGTAAGTACCGAACTGAGTTAGCTTCTAGGCCAGCTACCATTTTTACCGAAAAGTATAGATGAGCATTGGTTGCAACTTCATGACGCCATGGAAATGGCAAGTAAAGGTGCTTGCGGCTTCGCGAAACGTCCTGCTTATAAGCACTGGATTTCTTCTGGTTCCTTACAACTCATTGAAGCCCGTCGATCTACTCTGGGTGACCGTGAGTTTGACCACAAACGAAGGCTGTTACGTAATGAAATCGGGTAAAGCTTGCTTAAGGACCGAGAAGTCTGGTGGTTGGAGCGTGCTAATGAGCTGGAAGAAGAAGCTGTATCTGGTAACTACCGGAAGCTCTTACAATTCATCTGAGCCACTTTATTTATTTATTTATTTATCTTAACACATAGATATTGGTACAAGGAGGCAACAAATACATATGCGCCACACAAATCTCATTCGGTATGTGTGAGGGCTATGATACTGCCAGGGTGCCCAAACCGAAGCAGGTGGTTTTCTTAGGGGACCACTCCCCGAGCCTTTGACCTAAAGGTCTGATTCACAAGCTAGTAGAGCATCGTAAGGAGATGCAGTCAGATGGTAGCAGGTGACCAACGATTGGTTCATACGCCATTTATTCCTTCAGGATACTGGAGCCCATGTGCACCATTGGTTTGGAACCCGGTTAAAGCGCCGTACATTCGCCTTTCGTACTCTCAATTTCGTAAACAACATCCCCGCCACGAGAAGGCAATGAGTAGAAGTTCCCCGACAGAGGCGGTATACACGTGGCCGTGTGACAGCTTTTCGAGAGGGAGGGCGGGCCCGACCCACCCTCGGCCATACCAGGGCATTTTGGGGCCATCTGAGCCACTGGCAGCAAGAAATCTGATTTGAACGAAACAATCTGTGAGGATGACGGGATACCAATCACTAACATCCATCGACGTCTTGGACGATGAGCAGAGTTCTTTGAAGGGCAGTTCAACTGGCCTGCTGCTCCGGCAACATCGGTCAAACTGTCCTGCCCTCCATGGCCGGTGACGACTGATCCACCAAATGAGGAGGAAGTCCGCAAGGAACTCCAACTCTTGAAGCGTTACAAATCACCTGGCCCAGATGACTCACCTCCGGTGACTTTCTAACTAAGGAACTGAATGTGTTGTTCACAAAAGTCTGGGAACTAGAGAGTGTACCAACGTCATGGAATGAGTCGATAGTTGTCCCTATCTTTAAAAAGGGTTCACGTCGTTCCTGTAACAAATATCGAGGGATAAGTCTACTTCCGATTGCGTCCAAGCTATTGGCTTCCATCATACTTCGTGGGTTGTTGAAAACTCGAGAAAGATTGACTCGCGAGGAGCTGGTTGGTTTTCGTTCTGGTCGAGGATGTATTGATCATATCTTCACCCTCCGCCAAATGTTAGAACACCGCCATACTTATCAAAGGCCAACAATCGTGGTGTTTCTTGACATCAGGGCTGCCTTCGATTCGTTGGACAGGACTGTTCTCTGGGATTATCTATTGAAGAAGGGTGTGCCTGAGAAGTTTATTAACATCCTAAAAGCCCTATATACAAACACATCAGGCAGAGTGAGGGCATACAACCACCTCTCTCCATTGTTTCATTCGAGCAGTGGGGTTAGACAGGGTTGCCCAATCTCACCATTCCTCTTCAACTTTGCCATCGATGACATTCTGGAAACAGCTCTGATGGATGTAAGTAATGGTGGTGTGGATCTGTTGCCTGGAGAAAGACTTCTCGACCTTGAGTATGCGGACGATATTGTCTCACTGTGCGATAATGCCCAAGGCATGCAATCTGCACTTAATCAGTTGGCAATCAGTGTTCGTAGGTATGGTATGTGCTTTGCACCTTCGAAGTGCAAAGTACTTCTACAAGACTGGCAGGATCCCAATCCTGTACTCACCCTGGATGGTGAGCAGATAGACGTAGTTGAGGAGTTCATGTATCTGGGTAGCTGCATAAGTGCTGGTGGGGCTGTGAGTGATGAGATCAATGCACGTATAGTGAAAGCCAGAGCGGTTTGTGCCAATCTGGGCCACCTTTGGCGCCTTCGTGATGTTAGTCTGGCCGTAAAAGGTCGGATCTACAATGCGTCGGTGAGAGCAGTTTTGCTCTATGCTTGTGAAACCTGGCCTCTCCGAGTTGAGGACGTTAGACGACTCTCTGTGTTCGATCATCGTTGTCTTCGAAGGATTGCTGACATTCAGTAGCAACACCATGTCAGTAATGCAGAGGTTCGGCATCGTGTGTTCGGGTGCAGAGACGATAATTCAATTGGTGTCACCATCTTGAAACATTGACTTCGATGGCTTGGACATGTTCTACAAATGTCGTCCCAGAGGATTCCACGTCGTGCATTATTTGCCGACTCTGGGATAGGTTGGAAAAAGCGGAGGTGGTCAGTGTATGACATGTTGTCGTGGTATGAAAGAAAGCTACAAAGGACTGGCTTCTGTCGGTTCTTCACGACTCCCTGGCTGGGGTCTGAGGGATGGTGCTACACAGTGGCTAGAGACGACGTTATCAGATATGGCTCAGAATAGAAGCCAGTGGCGATCCTGCTGTAACCTTCTTTTACTTTCTTCATAAAAAGTAGTTGTGTCTCCCTTAACTGAATGATTTCTTCCGATTGTACCTTTCCGTTCCCTGATTACTACCACACTACCTTACATCAATCTCTTCGTTATTGTTCTCTTTTGTTTTGCGCTCCTTACCTTTTCCTTCTCTCCAAATTCTCATTGTTTTGTGTGGCGCATATATATTTGGTACCCTCTCGTACCAATATTTGTGTTCAAATAAATAAATCACCCCTAGTTAATATAGATGGCAAACTAGGGTACCATGTGTCTGCGAGGAACAGCACTTTTATAAGTCAGATGAAAACGAGGTGGAAAAAAAGCAAGAAATTTAGGTGTTTTTCACACAATGCTTATACTATATAACTTACTATAAATCAAGCTATCCTGCAAAGATACTTCCTGTAAGACATAAACTACGTAATGTAAGAAAACTTACAATCTGCTAGCTATGAGTCTGTCGACAACTTTTTCAGTTGTGTATCAGCATGTAACAGAACAATAAGGTATTGGCTAGGAGTCAGAAACACAACTTTGTTAAAAGCGAAATAACAGGCAAAAATACTATTCATACTGATGCAGTAAGCTTCTAGTAAAGTATATTTATTTTATTTAACTTCTAGCTTAAACTCGACCAGTGGTGTACCTTGCTTGATTGAGGTGTGACATACTGATTCGTGTTGTTGAATCAATGTACCCTAATGAGATACGACTATATGACTTAATTACTGATGTAATCACTCAATCAAAATACAGTATAAACGAAATGAACGACTAAGATGAGGGAATAATTTAGTGATTAAGGACCAGTGGTAAACAGAATAAGAGTATCCCAAGTAGGACCCATAGGTTAATGGAACCTAAGAAAAATAATGATAACCAAAGTAGATGAGATCTTATAAGTTAGACTACTGGGAATTCTAATCTAGACAGTAATTTGATGACCTAATCAAATACATGCATAAATATACATGGTAAAAAGTGACTTACGACACCGGAATTGTTCATATTGTCTGGATCGATAAGAATGCGCAACATGTAACCCAAAAGGAAAGCATCACTAAGTTCTACAAAAAGTGTCTTGAATATTAATCTATAGACAAACCTACCTGGATCTGGATCAGTGAGTAATTGACTTATCATAAGATTAATGAGTAATTCATCGTCTTTTCGGAACGGAGCAGTTTCTCTGAAGACATATTCACGCACAACAGAGGGCTGGTGCTCAATAAATGCCTGGAGAATCTCGAGAGCCGCTGACTTTATATCTCGATCATCAATTGCGAGGAGTACTTCAGCTGTTCTTAGTGCTCCATGTTGAAGTAAACAACTGAGAAAACTTTCTTTCTGATCTGTTTGGATGGAAATATTACAAAATTCCTTTACAAAGAGCGATAGGTCTCTGCGATGAGTTAGGTCTGTATCCGCCGCTTTCAAACGTGTAAAAAGTCGGCACATAAACTCTTCATCTTCTTGAAGAGCCCGAATAATCTCCATCTTGTTTATAGAAACAAATGCTTTAAGTTGGGAAAGAGTGTGTTCGTCGAATAGACAAGGAGGTGGGAGACAGCAGTCTTGTATGTACTGAACGCGATATGTTTGATGTATTTTTGTCACTAAATCTGTATTATGCAAAGGCAAAACTTCTTTGAAAGTAGCCTTATTTCTGAGAAAATCACGATGTTTAGTGCGCCCAGAAGGATTGTATTCCAAAATACCAATCACATCCAACAGCATATCATCAGCGAATAAACTTTCATAAAGGCTATGTTTGTTTACCAATATAAGTTGTCGCATTATTTCGTAAAGATGATGCAACGATTCCATATCTTCCAGATCTTCTGCCTTGTGAAAGACATCGACTAACTGATGGAGATAATTAGTTGACTCTAAAAAGGCCACCAATCGCTCGCGTTTCGGAGGTGATGCGACAGCTTGACTAACTAGGTCAACAACTTCTTCAAGACGGCTCAGTTCACAAGGTGGAAGACTAAGAGGTTGAATACTTTGCATCATTGTCGGTGTATACCCATCTGTGTCATCAACATCATCTGACTCGTCAACAACCTCTTGAGTAATCTCTACCGATGGATCCTTTCCCTGTACAGCACAAATTTTTTCCCATACATCATCACAACCAACCTTTTCTTGGAAAGATAGAGCTAAATCCATATTTTCACCTTCTGACCAGACAATTAGTGTTTCTTGCTGCTTTTGATACGCTGTATCTGGCTGTATTTTTGACTCAAGAAGATAAGACCCATCTGTCTCTGAAATTACTACTAGAGCCATGTTCTCCTGCTCAGTATACAATGCTGACACGTGACCAGTGCCCTTATCATCCCATTGTCGTTCATCATTCAACATGTACAACTTTACTCGACGACGTGTGCTGGCTTCAGAAGATCCCATATCTAGAACGAGTCAAAACATTAAAATAAATTAACAATGAAAATTATGTTAGCTAGTAAACATACTTTAAATTCTGTTTGAAAATTTAGTGCTAAGAGATAGATTAGTTAACATTTGAGGAAAGGGCTATGATATACTGGGATAAATTTCTGGTACTGTTATGACCTTCGGTGTCTGGCTTTTCTATCACACGAATTATTCACCAATCCGAATACGACTTATACGAATCTTCACACTAGGCCAACCAATAACGTTCAACCGGTGTGGGCAGTCTAGCGCCTTATTAGTCCTAGGTCCTTCTAGCCCGTCTACTTGAGTCCAAAACACAATACCAGCTTCCGCAATATGAATCGAATCATGTATTTCAAACATACTCTGTTTATATACCAATCAAACAGACCACATCGTACCATAAAATAGAAAACAACATTTGTACAATATTTGACAAGTGAAACAAATATTGACCAATAGGAAATGTCCATTTAAAGTCCAAAGACACCATTAAACTTAACAGAATAATTATTGAATAGTTATACAATAAGAATATTAGTCCATTAATAGTCCTCGGAAGTTACCCGTAAATTAACCTTCACTCGGATATAACAGTTACATTTTGTTGTCTACATTAAACCTGATGATTACGTGGAACGGACCATTATGTTGCTTACTTGGACACGAACTTTTCGATGGGTTGCGAGGTTTTAAGAGCAGAGCATAGCCATTAATTTGAAGAAACAATATGATCAGATGTTAGACAAAACTAATCTTGATCTCAACCGGAATGAAGGAACACTGTACTTACCACAAATAAGCGTAAATTCACACGGACAACCTTACCATTAAAAATACCTTAACGTTCAGAACTAAATTATTGTAGACATAATTTATGTTGTCTATGTACTAAGATGAGAATTAACTGCGACCATAATAGATTGTACGATGATCTCTCACCAGCTGGTACTCTTATCGACCTAGTATATGGAGACAGCAGCCCTGTTCAATACTAAGAATGGAGTCAACTAAATGCCTTGAGTAACAAAGTAATAACCCTTGGAGTCTTTTTTCCTATATACAAAAACTTTAAAATTGGTCAGTATCAATGCCCAGTTTGACCGTTGTGACTGAAATAATCATCTTGAAGGTCTAATCATCCCTGGTGCTTCAATTACTGACAAAATCTTGGCACATACGAAAATCTCGCTTGTCTTTTATTAATTAGCACCATATTTGACACAGATAAGTCTGACTGTCCATCAAACGGAGAGTAGTATGTATCATTTTGCTATACACCTGAGAAATATAACCAGTGAAAATGGACGACCTTCGTAGGTTGTCAGTTTTCAACCAAAAATGTTTGTGTATTGAGGAATTCGGTGTCATAAAGCAGAGTTTAATCGTTAAAGCAGTTAACTTTCAACCATTGGTTCGCAAGTTAAAATCTTGTTTCGCCCACTTTAGTCTGATGTGGCGCGACAGTTTAACTCGACATACAATTAACCGTAAGTAGTTTGGATGTTTCATAAAGGTGGCCATAGTTCTTCCAAGGACCTACAAGCTTATGTTGAAGACTGAATAAATACACTCAAATAGCTTGTTGTAACCTACACTTGCTGCTATTAACGATAAACTACATGAATGCCTTGGTCATGATTTGGGCCAATAATGACTTAGATGACCAAGCACCAAGATCACCAATTGATAACCACATCATACAGTGAAAATCTTTACAATATCAACTTTATCTCAATCAAGATATATTTTCGAAATCACAGTGGCGAAAGTCATTTTGGTTTATTGTCCCTATGGGAAACTTTTACATTTAATTGATAGGTCATAGGTCAGACTACTGAAACACATGCCTATTTAGTGTTCCTAGTTTTTAAAATTCACATTCTAAGAACCTTTACTTACCAATTTCTGGATGAAATACTTCACGGTGTCAGATGCAAACCACCTAGACTTATGGGCGGGTTAAAAAGGTTATCAGACTGGGATCTCTTGCTAAAATGACCTGTCTGGAAAATAAATAATAAACCATGAGACTTACTACAATCAATATACGTCTATGTTAGGTTGGTTTACACGCTAGGCGATACAAGCCGCTTACACAGGAATAAAATGGGCTTAGACGTATGATTTATGTGGTTAATAATTCATTGCATATAATGAATTTAAACATACTTAGACTGGGGAATAGACTCGGAAAATACTAACGTGCATTGCGTGGTACACGATTACCAAATCAGACGACTGATAGATATACGTCATCAACGTCGAGCCTGATATGTAAGTGCTTTTGTTACAACCCATTAGCACAAAATGAAATAAATAAGACGAATTTTAGAAGATATAGAAATAACGTAGTAGCAATGATAGTGAAAAACAATCTCAGAGAAAGATGGACATATTATTCATTCTCAATCCAGGAGATTGGATCGGTGGGCAGAACACTAGGGATCAGTTTAACTGGCCTTCAGCCACACTTCGGTTTCCCACGATCTCCAGTCAACCTGAATGGCAAGTTAATGTAGGTCCTCCGTCCCTTTACAAAGTTGAAAAAGCCATAGGAAATCTGAAACGAGGGAGAGCAACAGGCCCTGACAGGTTTACTCCTGAGATTTTTAAGGATGGTGGTCCAGTATTAGCAATGAGATTAACTGAGGTCTTAGGTAGAATTTGGGATTCGGACGTAATCCCATCTGACTGGTCTGAGTCACTGATTGTGCCAGTCTATAAGAAAGGACAAAAGTCCTCTTGTGACAATCACAGAGAAATCAGTTTGACTAATATAGTGTCTAAAATATTAGCTTCAATAATACTTCGACGCCTAATCAAAGCTCGTGAAGAGCAGATTAGAGAAAACCAGGCCGGTTTTCGACCTGGACGTGGTTGTATAGATCAGATATTCACACTACGTCAGGTTCTAGAACACAGACACACATTCAGACGCCCCATAATCGTAGTATTTCTCGACCTTAAAGCAGCATTCGACTCTGTTGATCGTGAGGTTCTATGGCAGTGTTTGTCACTGAAAGGAGTACCAGAGAAGTACATTAACCTTATAAAGGCTCTCTACTCGAACACAACTGGTTAGAGACCCTGAATGACATGGCTCAAAATCGTCTGCAATGGCGCAGGTGCATCTACTCTTTGTGTTCTCCCAAATTTCGGTCTCCTCATCCCTCCTTGTCTTTTTTTCTCTTCCCAAATTTATTTCACTGGATTATACTCTTTAAATAACATCTCCAAACCCTAATCTTCCCGATTACTGCTTATACTCTTACTACCTCTACCACTACGGGATTTGAATCGACAATTGTATCTCTGTGGTAATGCGGTGTGGCAACTCGAACTGATGTACGTACGTACGAAGTTCTACGTTGTTACTGACTAGACTGACTGAGTGAGAAACGCTAAACATCGGGAACATGGTTTGAAAAGGCACAAAGAAAGATATTTATGAGGGAATAATGGAACTCAAGAGTGGGTGAATCTGAATCGTTGTGAAAAGTTTTTAGCCGTGTCACGAGTCTCTAATCGCTGATTGGAGCTATTACACGGACCCCAACCAGAAGGTTTACCCCTACCTAAACAAGGCTCAGTTCAACGGCCGGTGACCTAATGGACTGACGTCTCGTCTTCGTTGTCAATCAGTGTCCGTAGGTATGGTATGTGCTTTGCACCTTCGAAGTGCAAAGTACTTCTACAAGACTGGCAGGATCCCAATCCTGTACTCACCCTGGATGGTGAGCAGATAGACGTAGTTGAGGAGTTCATGTATCTGGGTAGCTGCATAAGTGCTGGTGGGGCTGTGAGTGATGAGATCAATGCACGTATAGTGAAAGCCAGAGCGGTTTGTGCCAATCTGGGCCACCTTTGGCGCCTTCGTGATGTTAGTCTGGCCGTAAAAGGTCGGATCTACAATGCGTCGGTGAGAGCAGTTTTGCTCTATGCTTGTGAAACCTGGCCTCTCCGAGTTGAGGACGTTAGACGACTCTCTGTGTTCGATCATCGTTGTCTTCGAAGGATTGCTGACATTCAGTAGCAACACCATGTCAGTAATGCAGAGGTTCGGCATCGTGTGTTCGGGTGCAGAGACGATAATTCAATTGGTGTCACCATCTTGAAACATTGACTTCGATGGCTTGGACATGTTCTACAAATGTCGTCCCAGAGGATTCCACGTCGTGCATTATTTGCCGACTCTGGGATAGGTTGGAAAAAGCGGAGGTGGTCAGTGTATGACATGTTGTCGTGGTATGAAAGAAAGCTACAAAGGACTGGCTTCTGTCGGTTCTTCACGACTCCCTGGCTGGGGTCTGAGGGATGGTGCTACACAGTGGCTAGAGACGACGTTATCAGATATGGCTCAGAATAGAAGCCAGTGGCGATCCTGCTGTAACCTTCTTTTACTTTCTTCATAAAAAGTGGTTCTGTCTCCCTTACCTGAAAGATTTCTTCCGATTGTACCTTTGCATTCCCTGATTACTAGCACATTACCTTACACCAATCTCTTCGTTATTGTCCTCTTTTTTTTGTTGCGCTCCTTAGCTTTTTTTCTTTCTTTGTATTCCTCTCGAATTTTCATTGTTTTGTGTGGCGCATATATATTGGCGCTCTCTTGTACCAATATTCATGTGTCCAAATAAATAAATAAATAATAGGCCACCACTAGCCTTCTACCACACTCCTACACTAAACAACAATGCTCTTCGAGAAAGGCGGTGGTTGGACACACGTACTACATATTCCAATTAGTCGAAGATTCGCTACTTCAATCAACCCCACCATCTTTACCTAGTACTCTAGGACTCATCCCAGCATTGCTCACTCGGTTAGTACACGTAACGTGAGAAATGCTTCGAAGACACTTATGTACGAAAACCTTGAGCATATGCATGTGTTCTACTTTTGTAGACCATGTTTCATAGCCACAACCAGGTTCAAAACCAGCCAGCCTTGTTTACCGAGGTCTGCTTTTTGCGAACCCCGGTTAGACGTCGGATGATTATCGAGGCTAATATTTCGAACAATTAGTCAAACTGATTATTTTGTGGTTATCACTAGAGGATATGCATCATTTCTCATAAACAGGCGATTAGCGGTCGAAACCAGAAAAATAGAATTACGTTCATCTGTCGAACTCTAGCCAGTACCAGTGAATTTAGCTTATAAGACCAGACCACAACCCTCGAGTGTTTTCGGGCTTAATTAATCAGGTTCCGCTGTTCTCCCATTGTTAAGATTGCCTATAGCCTTTCTGACTTCACAGAGATATGGGGGACAGGTCAACTTTTAGCTTATATTGTTCGGGAATAGTGGGTAACTGTGAGCCAGTTGAACTATTCCTTAGAGTGATCTGACTATCGATCTAATCTCCTGGATTGAGAATGAACGACCACTTCATCGGTTATTATGAGACATCTGACGTTTTAATATTTATCAACTCGACGAGTGTCGCCGTGTACTTTAGCTCAATATCATATTTGGGAAGCGAATACAACCGCCAAAACCAAGAAACGACACATCTGGATACTTACTAAAGGTCTCGTTAGTCATAATCAACGTAGAGCCTGATATAAGCGTAAGTTAGCCCAAGACCGTGTACTACAATAGTGTGACAGGAAATTAGTAAGATTTGTAGTGGTCGTGAAATCTTAACTAATTGATTCGGGTGTTGCGCCTTGCCACACAGATCCGCACAAACATTTAAACAGAAACAAAAATAAATACCCATCTTGCTAGTCTTCAAAAAGACTTTAAGGAAAAAATCACGGGGCACGTGTGATCTAACGAACTAAAGCCCTATTCTAATGATTGAAGATAAACCATTGACAGCACACCACTCGGTTGGTGTCCCGATATTACTCACTAAGTAATATCAACGGTAAGTTAACACAATGAATTGTTATGTTTCCTTAATCCTACAAGACAGAGTTCTTAAGCGCGAGACGTATTTCGCCAGTTTGTCAACAAATTTCCACTATCCAGAGACGCTACTCAAATTGTTTACCACTTGGGGGTGAAAAAGGGATATATCGACAAAATTTACTTCCCAAGTGGAAAATAGACTTTCCCTTTTTATTATCTCAAAGGTCCCATTACTGGTTGATGGGGCGCTGGATAGAAACTGAAAACCATTGACAGATACAAAATACAGAAAATAGCAACAAAAAAATGTGACCAGTTTAAAAACGCTGCAAAGACTATAAATTAAAATCATGACACAAAGCCAACAAAGAAACTGAGATATATCTTTTGCCAGAGATTTGAGTGAAATTTGAAGAAACAACTCTGAAGTAAATAACCCTTATCGTACATATTTCTGGAATTTAATAACAACCTTATCGACATAGAACTTATGTAAGGACTAAAACTAGCCCGCTTACGTTATTACTTTCAAAACCAGACCACAACCACCCACCGATATATCAAAATCCGATACCTCTAAAACGCTGCCATTTAGCAAAATGACACAACAAAACAAGACGCACATGCATTAATAAGAGTCGATTTTATGTGGAGAGAACTATCAAGGTATTATTTTAAAAGTTCTTGGAAAATGATAAGGTTTACCTCTGTATTTGATTATTGTTTTTCATAAACATCTAATCTTTTTATACAACTTTGTTGAGTGAAAGAACCGTACATTTAGTTCATCATAATCTGTATCCAAGTTGTTGAAAATGGTATATAATCTGTTTACTAATCCTACTGGTGGATTGACTTACTCACATTCAATTAATCGGCTTTTCATGTCAGGGTAAACTTCATTTTTCCCTAAGCTACGTCATGTCTTGTGAGTTCTCCGTTGCTTCAACACTACAGCCTCTTCTCTTTTTAGTTTATACAAACGATCTTCCTCAGCAATTATCTTCTGAGTTATTACTTTCTGTGAACGATCTTAAACTTTAGAAATAAGTTCAAAACCAAGATTCTAAGCTGACACTTCACGATGATCTGACTCGACTTAAAAGTTTGGTAAATAAAAACAGACTTTCTTCAGTAGTTTTACTCGACCCCTTCCTCACTGCGAAGGGATAAGATTACGCAGGAACGCATCTAAAGGTGAGACACGAAATCAGTTTCGGTACTCACATTCAAGACACTTGATTAGCGCCTCGAATCACTAAACCTTTACCAATTATAATATTTACGTCTCAGATGCGAACTTCTGACGACATACGCTGGTTGCCTCTCGTGGAGGAGCATAAACTGCCCACTAGCATTCTCCGTAAAAACGTCCTGGAAAATTCCCCACAGTTGTTACCAATTGGCATTCATCCTTTTCATAGCTGTTTCCAATCCTCGACTCTGTGTGTTCTTTGGTCCTTCTCTTTTCTGTCTCCCTTCACTATTCCAAGTTAGGAGATGCCTCGTTATTTAGTTTGGTGTTTTCAGCAATGTATGGTCTACCCACTTCCGAAATCTCCTAATTCCCTCTTCACCTGAAAGTTGTTTTACTCACTCCTATAGCAGATTCTTACTGATGGTATACAGTCAATCGACATTGAGTACCTTGCGTAGACAACTGTTTATAAATACTTGGACATTTTTGATGATGGTTGTAGTAGTTCTCCAAGTTTCAGCCTCATACAGCAGAACTGTCCTGACGTTCGTACTGAAGATTCTCACTTTGATATTGGTTGAAAGTTGCTTTGAGTTCCATATGTTCTTCAACTGTAGGAACGCGGCCTTTGAAATCTCAATAATATATAAAAAATCCCAAAAAGGAACAGACTCACAGTTTACGATTTGGTGTGCCAGATCACGTCGGGCTCACCAATGAAGATGGCACAGGTATTCAGTGTTTGACAACGCTTTTACCAGTAACACCTTCTATTATAACTGGTACCCACCAAGAGAAATCAAAAGACAGAATTGAGGAGATCAGAAGTTGTATTTGACGATTGCCAATATATCGGAATTGTCTGATCTAGTCTGGCTAGCGATTGCAGTAGATGGTGAGCACGGCGTTCCCACACGTGATCTGGTGCGGATGCATGACCGAGCGCCTTCAGCTAGGTGAGTCTACTAAAATTAATCTGGTCAGCATCCAATGTCGAAAACTTACAGAGCTATTTATTTTGGGGATTTATTTGCCGCTACAGGTCACTCCCCCCTAGTGGGGTAGTGATGACCCTAAGACGCGGCCAGCCAGAGGTTTAAACACAACGAGTTTTGTCGTTGGCAAACAATCTTCAGATAGCTTGCTAGATTTAACAGCGTCTGGTCGTCTTTCCTTACTACATCGGACCGAGGTACAACATAGTTAAAAAAGAAAAAGTACAATGAAAATTTCTGCTCCTCGTAAACTTCATCGTTTTTTTCCAGCCGTCCTGGAAAAGAAAGAAGAAAATGTAAATGCATATCGAAATACACTCGTATGTGCGTAAAAACACAATGTCGGCGAAAAAAAAGGAAAATAGACTCATATACACGTAATATCTCTAAAAAGGATTTTTATAGTGTTTTTTAAATAAAAATATATGAGCATATTAAAATTGTTTTTTTTAAATATTATAAATCGTAAAAAGAAAGATCGAGATTATATAATATGTAAAGTAGTGCCTTACGTGCAGTAGTCGCTTAAATGTTCTGGAAATCTTACTCTTCTTCCAGAACGCGTTGTTTTAGGTTTATTTTCAGATACTTTTGAAGTATCATCGCGTTTGTTGCCTGTCGGCTGGGGTATTATAAGCGTAGGAGTCGTGTTGTGCGATTGTACCGAAGGGAAATCGACGTGAATAGGATTTCCTTCTAAATACGCTACTTTTAAGCGATCGATGCTGATGCTATCGTTTGTTCCGTTCTTATCGACTATATAGCGCTTAGATTCACGTTGAAGAACTTTGAAAGGTCCTTCGTATGCTGATTCGAATGGTCGTCGATGCGAGTCTCGACGAACGAAAACGTGTGTATTTTATCGTAAGTCAGGTTGAACAAAAACATCGGTTGATTGTGGTCGAGTGGAAGCAGGTTTAACTGAACGCATTGCGTTTGTAAGCCTGTTCGTGTAGGAGGTTAGATCCATGTTCATTGAAGAGGATGAAGGATCCACGAATTCTCCTGGAAGTCGAAGTGTCGTTCCATAAACGAGCTGGGCCGCAGTGTATCCAATGTCAGCTTTCACTGCATTGCGAATACCTAGTAAGACGAGTGGAAGAGCGTCGGTTCACTGAGAAACGTTTGCAGATGATAGTGAAGCTTTTAGTTGTCGGTGAAAACGTTCTACCAACCCGTTTGCTTGTGAGTGGAAGGCGGTCGTTCGGAAGCGAGTGATTCCTAAAAGTGTAGTCAGACGACAGAAAAGATCGGATTCAAACTGACATCCGCGGTCTGCAGTGATGGTTGAAGGGCAGACGAAGTTTGCTACCCATCGTTCGACGGAGGCGCGGGTCACTGTTTCAGCAGTGATGTCCTTGATAGATACTGCTTCTGGTCATCGAGTGAAACGGTCAACGCAGGTCAAGAGATAAGAGTATCCATTTGAATCTAGTAAAAGTCCTACCAAATCCAGATGAACATGGTCGAAACGAGCATCGGGAGTTTCAGATGAGTGTAAGGGACATTTATTGTGTCTTATAACCTTAGATTTTTGGCAGCTTACACAGGAGCGTGCCCACTCCCTCACGTCTTTATTCTTTCCAGGCTAGCAAAACTTTTCTGCTATAAGCTTGATGGTTGCACGGACTCCTGGATGAGAACGTTTGTGCAATGTATTGAAGACATTGCGTCGATAATGTTTCGGCACGATTGTGCGATCCCTACCTGTAGATGTGTCACAAAGTAAGGTTTCCTTACCTCTTCCCATCTGTTTGATGCGCAGTTTGAGGGTTGTAGACGATAACTCGTGCTGAAGATCAGTGTCTTCTTTTTGAAGCTGGGCGAGTTTCAGAAGGTCGATTCCTTGGAAACTGTTCAAGAAAGTTTATGGTCTGTGAAAAGGGCGAATTCACGGTCTTCGATATAATGTTGAAAATGCCGTACAGCACAATACATAGCTAGGAGTTTCCTACCGAATGTGCCGTACCTCGATTCGGTGTCTAGCAACCGTCTAGAGAAAAATACCAAAGGTTGCCAGGAGTTGTTAACCCATTGTTGTAAGACTCCTCCGATTGCTGAGTCGGATGCGTCTACTGCGATGCTAATGGGTGCTTGAGTGTCCTGATGTGCAAGCATTGTTGCTTTAGCGATAGATAAGTTCCTTAATTGTGGAGGATGCTTTTCGTGCGGTCTCGTCCAAATTAATGGATTTCGCATTTCCACAAAGTTGGTCGGTAAGAGGTTTCATGAGTAACGCGCATTTCGGTATGAATCGTCTATAGAAACTTACAAAGCCGTTAAACGTTCGTAGTTGCTTGATCGTGGTCGGTTTTGGGTAATCCAGAATTGCCGCTCCTTTGGTCCTAAGGGGTCGAATGCCTTGAGCATCTATAGTGTGTCCTAGGAAGTCTAATGAGTCAGCTCCGATTTGGCATTTCTGAACGTTTACAGTAATGCCATGTTTTTGTAGTCGGTCGAAAACAAGATCCAGATGCTTGAGATGTGATTCTCTGTCCGGACTTGCTATTAAGCAGTCATCAACATACGCATGTGCGAAGTTGAGACCTCGAAAAACGTCGTCTATGAATCTTTGGAATGTTTGAGCAGCGTTTCTTAGACCGAAAGGCATTCGCAAAAATTCATAGAGCCGAAGGGAGTAACGATGGCGGTTTTCGGTATGTTGTCTGTGGCCATGGGGATTTGGTTATAAGCTTTAACCAAGTCGATTTTCGAAAATACAGTTGTACCTTTCAAGGTAGCTGTCAAATCGTGAATGTGAGGCAACGGGTAACGATCGGGAATGGTTTTCGCATTCAATCGCCGATAGTCACCAGTTGGACGCCAATCGTTGCTGTCCTTTTTAGGGACCATGTGCAACGGAGATGCATATGGGCTATTTGACGGTCGTACGATTCCTAAGTCTATCATGTGATCGAACTCGTTTTTCGCCAACCTTAGCTTTTCAGGGGCTAGTCGTCGTGCTTTAGAGAATACAGGTGGTCCTGTAGTCGTGATGTGATGTGTAACATTGCTGGTTACACACGGTAATCTCGGTTGCGTTTGTTGTATCCCAGGATACTTATCGAGAAGTGGCTGATAAAGTGGGTCTATCATATGCTTAATTGTGACTGGGGATAATCTGCAACCAGAGAAGGAAGTTACGCAAACGGATAAATTAGTGTTTCCGTCTACTAGCCTCCGTTTGCGCGTATCGATGATCAGATTATGGTGTTGTAGAAGGTCCATACCAATGATTGGCATAGAAACATCTGCAACAACGAAGATCCAGTGAATGGGTTCGCGTAAACCCACGTTAAGGTAAACGTACCTTTTGTCATTACGTAGCGATAGGTTTTCCGTTTGCCACCTGTAAGTTTAAAGCCGATTCGTGAAGTCGGTCGTTGGGATTCGCTGGGAGAACGCTAA